AGTCAGCACATCACTGCCCAGTGCCTTGCAACATGTTACAAAGTGTAGGAATTGTACCAGAAATTAATATTATATGAGGAAAGTTTGTTCCATCTGAGAAACTAGAGAACATTCAGAAAGTGGCAGGGATCCCCCATAACCCTGTCTCATGCTGCTGGTATTTGAGTGAAAAATCTCAGCAGAGTCCAGCACAGGAATGCTCAGAGCAACTGAGTTGGTTTGGAGGAAACATTCTTAGCAAGCCCTCCTCCAGGCCAGTTGTGCATTCCTGAGAATGGCTTGAAAGAGTGATGCTTACAAACACAAAAACATACAGTTTAGTGTTCAAGAAAAGACTCAGGTGGTGGTGCACACCTTTAATTCCAGCACTCATGAGACAGAGGCAGGTAAATCTCTGAGTCCTAGGCCACAGAGCAGTTCCAGGACAGCCAGGGCTACACAGAGAAACCATGTCTCAAAAAAACAAATAGGAGAGAGAGAGAGAGAGAGAGAGAGAGAGAGAGAGAGAGAGATCATGAAATAAAAGGCTGAAACTCTTGGGCATGTTTACTTTATCTGCTATCTATATTGCATGGCTTATTTTATAGATAAAAACAGCTTATTAAGGTATGATATGATCTAGTAGTTTCAGTTCCTTACTTATTTTTTCTTTCTTTCTTTCTTTCTTTCTTTCTTTTTTGTTTTTTTTGTTTTTTTGTTTTTCAAGACAGGGTTTCTCTGTGTAGCTTTGGAGCCTATCCTGGCACTCGCTCTGGAGATCAGGCTGGCCTCAAACTCACAGAGATCCTCCTGCCTCTGCCTCCCGAGTGCTGGGATTAAAGGCATGTGCCACCAACGCCCGGCTCAGTTCCTTATTCTTTATTATAAAGAGTGTGTACATTTCATTTTATCTTACAAATCAAACACATTTTTATCTGCCTGCTTACACATAACACATAATGTATTGTGTGAAATAGACAATTTACAGAAATGTGTATCACCCATGTTCCTCTTTGTTGGGTTTTAATTAAAGGCTGATACTAACCTTCTTTGGGAAGATAAAATATGTTTCTCTCCTGATAGTAAACAAATGTTAAATGTGTGATGGACTTAAACTCCAATATTGAAATAAGATGATCAGTGTCTGTTCACCTACTGCAGTAAAATGAAGTGATCTGTGTGGTGTTTTTCTTTCTTTGTTTAGTTCTTATGTAGAAAGAGTTTTTTTTAAAAAAAAACAAAAACCAAAAAAACTTCCCCTTAGAAACTAAGTTTTTGAAATCCCCTATGTCCACTAACTTTTTACAATTAAGATGGAGAAGACTTACTCTGTGATTCATGAATGGGTTGAAATATGCAATTGAATTTTAACTATTTGAGAATTTCTGGCCAGCAGGTGGAGGGCCAGACTGGACACTACCCTGGAAGAGGAGTTACCTGCAAGGAGGACCTGGAAACTGTCTTGCCCTGGGGCATCAAGTCTGCACATAAGGAAGGAGAGATGGAGAGTTGGCCGCTGGGAGAGGCTGGGCAGCCTGGTCCTCTAGAGTGCAGGGTATGGAGTAGGTGACTCTTTAGTCAGAAAACTGCCCCCTGTGCAATCTTCAGCAGCCTGTCCAAGGCCATGACAGCCCCTCATGTGACTATGGAGATGGAGGAAGTCCCACCTTGCTCAGTCTTCAAGAGAAGGAAGCAAGACTGCCTGAGCTGCTAAATGCATCTGAATTGGTAGACATGACAGGCGAGTGAGTGACAGGGAAATGATAGAAGTCTCCACTAACCCAAGACCAGAGAATCAAGAGCACAGATTTCCCAGCGCCAGAGACACATGTCCTCACTGAATAGAGATACCCATTTCATACTTTCCCAACTTTCATCAGCTCTAGGCCCTTTCATCAGCTCTAGGTCTGCCTGCCTCATCGGTCAGTATGTTTCTTTGCTGCTCAGTCTCCCTATTCAAGCTCAGCTCTACTGCAAACAGCCCCACAGACCCAGCACAAGAATATCTTCACAGCTGTGTGGGCATCCAATTGTACAGTCAAGTTAAAACAAAAGATCAAGCGTCTTATTTTGTGATAGAAAGCCTGACCCTGGATATCAATTAACAACACTGATCTATAGGGCAAGATTAGATTTTAACTGTCAGCAGCTCATCTTTTAACTGTTCACCAGAAATTAGCTAAGCCCTATGAAGATGTTGGATAAACAGAGTTTTACATAAGGAGATTCATAGGCCTTGATTCATCAAGTGGAAACAGGTACACCCAGTAACAATTAAAATGAAGAACAAGTCTGCATTCCCAAGAATGAAAGGGAAAAGCATCCAAGAGTCATTATAAACTTCAAAGGTACCATGAAGTGGAACGATGGACTCCAAGTGCTTTGGTGACACAAGGGGCCACATGTCTTCCTGGTGGCACTGTAAATGTATTCATAGAACAGGCACATAATCTCTTATGACACCCCACAACTGGTCTTTCCCGGTGCCCCAAAAAGAGGGGGACAATGCGTTTAAAGGCAACCACACTGGTGTAATGAAAGCTAAAATGTTAGAGGTGCCAAGTAGCAGGAAAAGGGTTAGAAAAATTGTACTTTACCTACAAGAAGGAATACTAGATAACAGCTAAGTCTCATGAATGTACATGTAAGCAGAATACTGATATGTCCCACTTTAAAATATATATATATATATATACACCGCAGGGGCAGGGGGCTAGAGAATGGCTTATTGGGTAAAGTGCTCGTTATGCAAGCATGAGGACCTGAGTTCAGATTCCTTGTATCCACTTTAGTAAGCCAGGCTTGAGCTGGGCACCTGTCATCCCAGGGATGGGAGACAGAGGCAAGAGGATCCTAGGAGCTCACTCACCAGCCAAGTAGAGCTTCAGATTCAGTCGATGGCCCTGTCCCAAAGCTTAAGGTGGAGAGCAGCAGAGAAAGGCAGCCATTGTCGACCTCTGGTCTCCACATGTTCACATACAGATGTTTGCAACTAAACATACACGTGTGCACATGCATGCACACACCACACTTTCTTATGCAAGGGGTCCAAGCCAGGGCTCTATGTGTGCTACTCAGTTACTCTACTAATGAGCCCAGTCCGTGCCAATTTTTTGAGTAAAAGGTTAAATAAAGAAAGAGCAGAACCTGTAGAGTGAGCAAAGTCCTGAGTGAATGTGTATTTTTGACACAGGCACAGCTATATTGAGGACTACAAGACCTTGAATCTATGGGACTATTAGCAGAACCATCACCCGTACTTCCCAGGCTCAAAAGGAATGGCAAAGCTTTTCTTGGGAGTCAAAGTCTTTATGAGCAATTGATGAGTGTGTGCAAGGACTAGCAACTGCAGCTTCCTCCTCGTGGGTGTCCACAGCATAAGACTGCATGATTACAGTGACCTCTTATCTAGATTGGCTAACCCTACCCCCAGCCTTGTGCTGTACCTAATAAAAACAAGTTGAGGGTCTGGTAGTGGTGGCAGAACCCTACCGGACCCCACTTTCACTATACGTGTGTCTATCCTTTCTTCATTCCCTGGTTGCCCCTAGTCAGGGCTCTGGAATCCAAGCCACACTGATCCTGGCAGGAACATATGTGCACATGATTAGAGCAGGCATTATTAAAAGTCAAAAGAATCTGAAGTGATGTCGCTAAGTAGACACTGGTCAAGTCCCTACTAGGTTCAGAGCATTTTCTAGGTGGTAAACACCTAAAACACTAATGAACAAGCAGTAACTAAAATACAAGCCATTTTGCCATTATCATCCATGGACAGAAGCATGCAATAACTGTGAACAGTAAGCCATGCAATGTGTATATTTTCTGCTGATGTGCAGTTCACATGCTATAAATGTGCAGCTCTTAAGGGTATACCTGTGTAAATATGGTATCTGTATTCTTTGTGTAATTACCATTCAGATCTAGATAAGGAATGTTTCCAGCACTCCACAAGTTTCTGTCAATAAACAACCTTGCCAAAGTCAACATGCATTTGACCCAATCATACTTCCCATCTGAATGGAATGATAAAGCACACACTTTCCATGTGTGTGGATCAACATTATGTCATTGACAACGTCAGTCAACATTATATCACCGAGATTCATCCATGCTGTGGTGCAGAGCATTGCCACATGTTAAATTATGACATACTATTTCATTACATGATAATGGCTTTATATTAATAAACTGCACTTGATTTATTAATTTTCTGCTGATGAAATTGAAAACTAAGTTGTTTCCTACATTCTGGCATAAAAGTCTTTCATAGCTTTTGGAAGACAAAAGCATAACGAGACAGTCCTGGGTGAAAGGTCACTACTTGCTCAACACTAGTTGACACTGTCAACATTCCAAAGTGGTTATTCTCCCAGCAACACACAGTCCCATCACTTCATAAAGTACCAACTATGGTCAGCCTTTTGGATCTTAGCCATTCTAGTGACTCAGCACTAGGATATTACAGTGTTTACAATGACCAGTGTTTGTTGTGATTTTACAGGCTAATAGGCTACTTGGATATTCACTTTTAGGAATGCATGTTTAAGCCTTGATCTGTTTTGTAAGTTATCTTTCTAGATACATTGTTTTTGGATAAGAGGTCTTTGTTGAGCAGCCGTATTCTCCCAACCGAGCCTGACCCGAATGCCTACCCATAAAGTAACTCAGTCTGGTACCGGGGATGTGAATCATTGAGATCCTGAACAAATCCGCTAGGGGCTTACTCTTCAGTGTGGTTTTAAACTGATTTGGGAGTAAGAGCATAATACAAGTGAAGAAGTGGTGATGGAGGAATCTGAGAAGACAAAGTTTTACATTAACAATGTCTATAAAAGAATGCCACATGGCCATATGAAGTGACACAAAAGCCACACTGGCTTTTGACTTAGAGACCTCAGAAGGACCAAAGAGATGGCCTTCAGCACTGAAGATCGTCTACAAGGGAGTAGACGATCCCCTGGAATCAGGCTTCTCATCAGTTGTTTGTTGTCGTGACAAAATACCAAACAAAAGCGACCTAAGGGGAGAATGATTTATTCTGGTTCAGGAGATACAGTTCAAAGTAGCAGGGAAGGCAAGCAGGAGAGGCGAGTCACAGATGCAGGGATGATGCTCCTTTACAGCACATCTTTGCTTATATCTTCTTGTATCAGGAAACAGAGAGTAAGCAAAAGAAGTCCTTGACTACAATGATCAAAGTCTATGCTCCTAGAAACCTCCTGCCTCCAGATAGACCCCCACCTGCCAGAGAGCCCATAATTGTTCAAAATAGCCATCATTTAGGAACCAAGTATCCAGACATGAGAGCCTGTAAGAGGCACTTTAGCTTTAGAAGGGTATGGAAAGGAGTTGCTGGGACTTTAAAGAGCCTCTGCATGGAGGATTGGATGAGCAAAAAGAGGGAGCTGGTGAGGCTTGGGGTCTGGAACGGGATGGAAAGAAAGGAGAAGGAAAAGGTGGCTCTGGGCTGCAGTGGTCCTGGCTGCTCCTCAAGGCTCCCTGCAAACCAAGGGAACCTGGCATCTTAATCATACATCCTACCCTGCCAAGGCCCTACTTGTTGCCCCAAGTGGCCATCTTTGTGAACACAGGTCTCGGGAGGAAGCGGCTGGTCTTCATGTAGTCAGAGATCTTCTTCAGGCCCTGTGAGTGACAAGGATAGGGCAGGAGCTCAGGTCAGCAGCCAGCCAGGATAAGCAGCCACACATACCCCCCATCTCGAGGAACAGCTTTCCCTGTAGGCGCTAATATTAGAGTTTACTTGATCTTCCAAGATCAGTCTTACTGTACCTACATCTCAGCAAAAGCCAAGGTCAGAGGGGTTAGGTGGCTCCCTCCTGTTCACACAGCTAGTCCATGGGACAGGACTTGAGTCAGTTTGTCTCTAGGGCTCCCATTCTATGTCCTCAGTCCCCCCCCCCCCCCCCCCCCCCCCCCTCCTGCAGGCCCCCCTGCCACTCCCTGTCTTCACAGACTTCCTCCTGGATGGTTTACACAGAAACTACCAGTTATAAGACAAGGAGGTCCAGAACAGACCAGTGCAGCAGAACAGAGAGCCCAGACCTCATCCAGTGACCTGGCAAATCCTGGATGAAATGAACAAAAGGAAGAGAGGCAGCTTGGGCTGCTGAGCCAGCCCTAAGAACTCCTGAAAGTAGAGGTCCAACCTGTTGTATTCAGGACCTCAGGCTGATCCCACTCTGCCCAAGCTGCCTCATATCCAGCCCCGTGACAGAGGACCATGCAAAGAGATACCCAGTGTGTTTTGTTCCATCTTACCAGGAGAGCCTGCTCAGATAATTCCTGCAGCGTTCAGAGGCCTAGAGCTGACTGTTACCAAGGAGGCAGGTGCAGCAGGCCTTGGGCTGCAGCCCTCAGCTCTTCCATCCTTCCCTACCATAGCCACACCAGCTCTGGCACGCTCAAAGGCTATTGTATCAGGACCACAGCCAGAGTTGGTACAAACTAACAAGAGAAGATGTATTACTTGCCATAAGGGGATTCCAGACTACAAACTTGTCCTTCTACTGCCTGCAGTTGCCAAGTCTCTGAAAGAATATATTCTGTGGATGTTAAGGAGACCCTGGGGGACCCATGACCGGCTGTGCAGTGAGAGCCAAGCTTCCCTCTATAGCCTCTATAGTCTGTTTCCTTATCTATCCAATGGGACTCACAATACAATGTGCCCTGTAAGTTGATCACACTGATACATTTTACCGAAAAGATAAAAGATGCTAAGCACAGGTCCTGCCAGAGAGCAAGCACCCAGTAAATGTTACTGTTCTGATGTTTTTATTTGAGTTCAGGACTAAGGACCTGCCAGGGAAAGGAAGGCCATCCAAGAAGAAAGAGAATTAGGAGCATCACCTCAAAGCGTGATATGAAGTCCTTCAGGTTTGGGAACTCTTCCAGGCACTTGGGTTCAAATACTTGATTCCTCTCAAGAACATCATAAGCGATGAAATCCACAAAGGTGATCTGCAGGAAGCTGACAGTGAGTGTGCTGGAATCTGGTAGCTTGGGAAGATCAGCAAATCCTCCTTCCCAACCCCTCTGTTTACCTTGTCCCCTGCAAACCACGGCCGCTTGCCCAGGAACTCGGAGTAGAGCCTCATCATTCCCGGGAGTTGCTCCAGGTACCCTGGCTTCAGCTTCTCCTACAGCAGAAAACACTGTGACCACCCTCAGTCCCAAGATTCTGGCATAGGCCTGGCTCACAGGGCTGCGGAGGCCCCACCTGGGCAGAGGTGCAGTCACCTTCCCCAGATGGGGCCTGGGCTAATCCAGACTTTAATTTATTATGTCACCACTGATTAGATCCTATAGGCACCAGCTCCAATATCAGAAGTGATGAGAAGCCATACAGGAATACTCTGTCCCTGAGACTCACCACCGATGTTCAGAACCACTCTTGTGGGTCACACTCGGGACTGTGTGGGCAGGCTCTGGACTCAGATGTTATGCAGAGTCAAAGAAGCAAACAACTAAAGCACTCTGGAAAAGAAGTTGAATGTTCTACATAGTAAAGTGACAGGAGAAAGATAGGACCTTGGTGCACTTTCAAAAAAAAAAAAAAGATTAAGTGAGTGTGAGGGGGTGAAAGGAAAGAAGGAGACAGTTGATTGGCTATGAATTGCCTACTGGGAACATCTGCTTATCACTGTGGGCATCGGGATATGGCTCTGGGAATCTGGTTGGGAAGTGTCCCCAGGTAATGACACCCTTCTATTTCCAGACTGCACCACTTTTTCTCATTGTTTGAGTGTGGACTGTAGAAGCAGTGATGATGTAAAGTCAAGTGGAAGACATAACCCAGCGGGGAAATGGGTGGTCAGAGCTGAAGGATTCTAAACAGTCTTTACTACCCAGGTGCTGATGCTCAACTGTGGAACATTTCTTCTGGTTACTAAAGGCAGTAAGAAGTTCACTGGGGTTTTCACCTGACAAGACGCTGAGGTTTGAGGGTCACTCTGAGGGCAGCGTGTGTGTGTGTGTGTGTGTGTGTGTGTGTGTGTGTGTGTAAAGTTCACTGGGGGTTTCACCTGACAAGACGCTGAGGTTTGAGGGTCACTCTGGGGGCAGCGTGTGTGTGTGTGTGTGTGCTCGCACACGCGCGCGCGCGCCCTCATGAAAGGGTTGGTTTAAGGGTTGGTTTTGTTTTGGTAGTTTTGATTTTGAGATAACCAGGAATGCCTTAAACAGTCCCATCTCAGCCACCAGACTGTGCCACATGACTGCTGCAGTCCAGAACACCATTTCTAGGTGAGCAGTGCTACAAAGTTTAGATGTTAAACACACAGAACAGATGAAAAGGTAAGGGTACAAGCTCCTGTCCCCCCACCTCATCCAGCCCAGAGTAGGACTCACAAAGTCAGGGTTATAGCGAAGCCTGGCCAGCACCATGCGGTTGTCCATAAGTTGATTCTCCAAAATATCCACACGAATTCTCTCCTCTTCCGTCTCCCCACCTGCAACACGCACAGCACAGACTCACTCTCAGCATCCCACCCCAGCCAAAGAGGATAACCACCATCCCCACTGTGCAGCCAGCCCCACTCACACAGGTTGTGCTTTCGGCCAAGGTAACGAAGAATGGCATTGCTCTGGGTGATCTTGTGTGACCCATCAATTAAGTAGGGCAGCTGGATAGGCAAGCAGGATAGTCAGGTGGGATATGAGGTCCCAGCGTCCCTTACTTGGTTGAGGACAGACATGGGGCCTGACACTCAGTGTACTGGGCATGGGAAACTTTCCATGAACACAATGCACACTGAATGGAAGAGCTGGAACACAGCCTATCTCAGAAAGATGGTGTGAACAACCAGGGATAGGTGGATGAGAGCAGAAGGACTGGTCCCAGACCTCCTGATCTGTACAAAATAGGGACATCACCACCTTCCCCAAGCCTCCCCTTCCATGAACGTACATTGGGAAAGTCCAGGCCCAGCTTGAACTTCTCGTTCAGCCATTGGCTTTGGTCATAGTCAGGAGCTGTGGTGGACAAGATAATATGAAATCAAAGGATCCATGTGTTCAGTCACCTTTCCCAAGACCCTCCCAAGGCATCTAAGGCAGTAGACCTGCAAGCCAGTCTCACCCTGCAAGCTTAAGGATGTTTGTAAGGTCTGTGGGCTCCTTCATCACTAAAGCTTACAATAGATTTAGCCAAGAGTGAAGGGAATGGAATCCAATTACATATACAGAGGACCCTCTAATCTTCCCTTAGCATCTTCCATTGTTAGAGCAAACTACACAATGAAGGGTTCTGAAAGGGGCACAGTCTAGGTCCAAAAAGAAGAGGCAGAGCTGAGCAACAAGGGGACTAGATGTGGGTTGTTGGGCGTCAATGGGCAGGAGTTGACGGGGATCTGACTAGGAAGGTGCAATCACCGTCGCCCATAGTGTATCTCTTCTCCTCATAGCTTGAGTCTGTGTACTCCAGGAGCAGGCGGATGGCATGAGCCAGCTGTGAGAAAGGACCAGAGAAGATGAGATTCTTTACCCCCTCCAGATGAGTCCCCACCTCCCTGCCCTAATTTTGCCATCTCCATGCGCGAGCACGCAGGCGCGCGCGCACAAACACACACACACATACAGACACACACACACACACACACACACACTTCCTCAGCAAGCCCATCTACTGCGTGTAGCCTTACCCCTCCTCCAAGTCCTACTCTCCATTCGCATCCCTCACTCACCCCGCGGATGTCCCAGTAACCCAGTGTCATGGGCATGATTCTGTGGTCTGAAAGGACAGGCTCAGTGTCAGACTAGCCTGGACTTTCTGAGAGCCGCCAGGAATGGAGAGACCGGGACTTGGCTTTGTCAGGTCTTCAGACCGCCCTTCCCCACCCCCAGTTTCGACCAATGCTGGAGTCCTGGGGGCGGGCCAGGCCCACCCCGCAGGGACAGGGATGGGTGAGAGCCAATGCAGCTTGAGCTCAGACGGTACGTGGTGACTTGGCTGTGCGCCTAAAGCAAAAGGCGGGGCTGGGCTTGCCTGCTCCTGACTGTGGCTCTGCTCCCCTTTTGCTGTGGGGCTGCTGTTATCTACCCTTGAGTCTAGATGTCAGTAGCACAGTGATGACAATTCAGAATGCCTGGGACCTTGACAAATGTGTCCTGAGGGCAAAATTATCTCTTGTATTGTGAATACGAGAAAAATGAGGAACTGGAAAACATGATAACATAAATGCACTCATATGCACAAGATAAGTCTTTTTTAAAAATTTTTTATTTTATTTTTCGAGACAGTGTTTCTCTGTGGCTTTGGAGGCTGTCCTGGAACTACTCTGGAGACCAGGCTGGCCTCGAACTCACAGAGATCCGCCTGCCTCTGCCTCCCAAGTGCTGAGATTAAAGGCGTGCACCACCACTGGACAAGATAAGTCTTTCTAATGGAACTTCAACTAAGGTGTGTGTGTGTGTGTGTGTGTGTGTGTGTGTCCTGGGTCAAGTGGTAAATGTATCTAATTTTTCTGTTTTTTAATTTGATATAATATTAGAGTTTAAGAAAATTCATAAAAGGAAAAGTACACACTTATCTTCCATGCACCCTAGTTGCCCCCTTGTTCAGATGCTCTCCTCCAATCTTGACCCTCCCTAGTCCCCCAGTCCTCCCAGCACAAGTACAAAAGCTTATAACCAAGATCCTATTTTCTTTGTCTCCACCATCACCCTGGGGGTGAGTCAGACTCCAAAGGAGCAGTGATTTATAATCCTCTCTATTGCATAACTTCCAGCCAGGCCATGCATGTGGACCTGTAATTTATGACACTTGATGGAACACGTGTCTCTTTACAATGCTTGAAAACCTTGCCCCAAATTCCTGAGGAACGAGTGTTCTTTGTCTTATGTTTCTTCTTTCTCCTTTTAGATGGCTTCAGAGACTGGCCTTGGGACTCTGGGTAACTCAGGCTGGTCATGAATTATCTTCTTTTCTGCTGCCTCAGCTCCCAAGTGCTGAGATTAAGGGAATGCAGCACCATGCCTGTCTCTCCCAGAATGCACCACCAACTCACTCCAATCTTGATTTAAAAAAAAACAAACAAAAAACATGTTTTGTGTTTGTGTTGCTTTTGAGTGTGTTTTAAAAAATGTAGCTGAAGAAGAGGAGACTTTCCCTAGTTTGTGAAATCATGGTGTTTTTTTTTTTCAGACTTGACTTTTATCAACTTGAAAATCTCAGAAACACTGTGGCATGAACAAATTCTAGCCACAGAAGGTGCCCTTCATGTTCTAGAGACCCTATGAAGGCCTCCTGCTCTAGTGGTACCCTTCTTAGTCCTCTAGAATTCCTGTGAACCAGACACTATTAGAGTCATCAAGCAGTCCTTAGAGGCAATGGGTGAAAGCTGGTAAGTATGACAGCCAAAGCAAGTGTGACTCAAGCTTTATGGGGACCACACAGAGCCATGCAGGGACTTCACTGAGAATACTTCTTCAGGTAACACAGGGATACTCCAGGTGACACAGCCATACTGCAGGTAACAGAGGAATACTCCAGGTGACACAGCCATACTGCAGGTGATCACTAGAGAGGATGGGGTGGACCGACCAGGCTCCTCAGCACAGCACAGCCACTGCCAGACAAGAGAGGCAGGCCAGCCTCAGGGATAGTCACTTCAGGAGGTCACTTTGTTAGAGGAAAAGAAGAAGCTGAGCCTTTAAAAGGCAAGAATGGGACAGGGATCAGGGAATAAAAAGGAGGGCAGGTGAGATCTTGTGGTCAGGAAGAGGAAGGAAGGTGAGAAAGAAAGAGAAAATGGGGCCAGGGTGACTGGGGAATGGCTGCTACCGAGGGCCCCCAACATCATAAGGAGAATGAATCCCATCTCTTGTCCCGTTGCGGTCCCAGTTGTTGCCCCAAGCATCCTTAGCTAGCAGCCATCTTTGTGGGCACAGGTCTGGGAGAAGCAACTGGTCTTCACGCAGGGAGGGATGTGTTCCAGGCCCTGTGAGTGAGGAGATAACAGGAGCGCAAGCAAGCCTGTGTTCCCACGGGGTCTCAAGTAGCTCTACTCTATGAACAACCTTTCCCTGTGGGCTCTAATGCAGGTTCTCTGGAATGCGAATTCTTCAATTTCCTGTAAAAAAAAAAGGGGGGGGGGAGGCTGGAGGCGAGTCTTATACACTAGAGATTCAGACAACTCTCTTAATAATCCTGCAGGCTCTATCTAACCATGACTAGCTAAAGCTATCAGCAAGAGTCGGGCAGGTGGGGTTAGGTGGTTTCCTCCTGCTCACACAGCTGGTCCCTGGAACAGGGCCGGAATCAGCCTGGCTCTAGGGCTCCCATTCTGTGCCCTCTTTGCCCAGTGCCCTCCTCCCTATCTTTACAGACTTCCTCCTGGATGGTTTACACAGAAACTACCAGTTATAAGACAAGGAGGTCCAGAACAGACCAGTGCAGCAGAACAGAGAGCCCAGACCTCATCCAGTGACCTGGCAAATCCTGGATGAAATGAACAAAAGGAAGAGAGGCAGCTTGGGCTGCTGAGCCAGCCCTAAGAACTCCTGAAAGTAGAGGTCCAACCTGTTGTATGCAGGACCTCAGGCTGATCTCACTCTGCCCAAGCTGCCTCATATCTATCCCCGCTACAGAGGATCATCAAAGAGACACCGGGTGTGTTTTGTTCCATCTTACCAGGAGAGCCTGCTCAGATAATTCCTACAGTGTTCAGAGGCCTAGAGCTGACTGTTACCAAGGAGGCAGGTGCAGCAGGCCTTGGGCTGCTGTCCTGAGCTCTCCAGTCCATGCCTCCCGTAACCATGCCAATATTTGCACAATCACTAAGGCTATTCCTGTCAGAGCCAGAGCCAAAGAGAATCTGAGAAAGCAGAATATTGGATGGAGAGATGACTCCAGGCCATAAACTATTGTGCCGATGCCTCTAGTACCCAAGTCTCTGTACATATCAAGTGGACTCTGGAGGACCCATGATTGGCTGTGAAGTGAAGGCTACTGTGACAGCCCATGGTCAGGTGATGCCATCACTTGTAAGCCTCTCACTCTCTGTTGTATTTAGTCGTTGGATGAAGGGTCATCCTTGCATGGCTCACTGTGCTGCATACAAAGGAAACCACTGAGTACCAATGAAAATAAGTGCATAACTTTACCTTTCAGATACAAAATAAGACACCCAGAGAATAAAGGGAGAAAAGCTTGAGAGTAAAGGAAACTGCCCTATTTGATTTCAGTGTGAAAATCTTCCAACTAGGAGGCTAGAGAGATGGTTCAGTGGTTAAGAGTGATTGCTACAGAACCATGAGGACCTGAATTCTGATCCCAGTATCCATGTAACAAGCTGGGTGTAGGCTCATGCCTAGCATTAATGAGTGGAGACAAGAGGATGGCTGGAGTTCACTGACTAAAAGTCCATCTGAAAACCATGAGCTGAACTACTAGGTTCACACAGAGATTCTGCCTCAAAGGAATGAAGTGGAAAGTGCTGAGGAGCCCTGATGTCCTCCCATGCCCCTGTGCATCCATGGAAGACACACACACACACACACACACACACACACACACACACAGAGAGAGAGAGAGAGAGAGAGAGAGAGAGAGACAGAGC